GAGGAGGAGGAGGATGACGCCGAGGCGGAGATGGCACCCGCAGCGAGTGCTGCCACTGCGAGGTTGAGGCGCACCATGATGAAAAGGCAAGGCAAGAGGAGAAGATGGTGGAGAGGAGGAAGGAATGCGGAGTTGGCGCGTGCGCTGCTCGCCTCCTTTGTCGCAGTGTAATTGATGTGACGGTTTGGGGAAGCAGGGGAGGCGTGTGACTTTGGAAAGGGCGGTGCGTTGGAAGGGTTGGCTTGCGCCTCCCCCGATGAAGATTTGATCTGCACGACATCGGGAGATGGGACGTGTGGAGCGACACGCGCCGACCAAAAGCAACACTTTCGAGAGAAGCGCCGACTCTATCCTTTCCTCTCTACCATCTGCACATCGCCTGCACATCGCCATGTCGACAATATCAAACCAGCATGCGCTCTCTGGCGTCGAGGGTACACACACGGACGCCACAGAAAACGCGCGATATTCTGCGCCCTCGCCACCACGCGCAAAGTGAGTGTGTCCTTTGCCCCGCACCTGCCGCCGCCTCGTCGGTGCTTGTCGCTGACGCCTTGTCCCGTACAGATTCGATGCGGCACAGCTGCAGCCGCACCTGACGACCACTCTCAACTCGCGCCTGCGCCACGCCACGTGGGACAAGTCGGACAAAGAGCGCAACCGTGCACTCAGCCGATCCATCGCCGAACTCGTCAAGGCCAAGATGCTGGGTGCGTGTTTGCTCTTTCAACGCTCACCGCCTCTTGCAGCTGCTTTACTGACCGCGAGCTTGGAGCTTGCACTGCGACAGAGATCGAGCCAAAAGGTAGCGCGCACAGTCTCGATTCCGAGCCAGGGTGGCACACCAAGCTCACTCTCATCTCTCTCTGCGGCAGGCTTCAAGTATATTGTGCAGGTGCAGCTCGTCGAGAACCTCGGCCAGGGCGGAAGGTGCGTCGCGCTCCTACACCACATTGGCATTCAACCCGGCGCTGACACCCTCTTCTCCCATTGTGCCATGGCATGACGCGTTGCATGCAGAGGTGAGTCAGAGCGTTGGCAACCCTACCATCTCCGCGCGTAGTTTGGGCTGACGCTGTGTCGTGCGCTTTGGTGTATCGACTAGCGGACCTGGCGTGTCACTGGGAAGACAGCGACTCGGTGGTGCAAGAGATGTACTCGAACGTGAGTCTGCCCTTGCTGCTCCTCTTGATCGCTTTGCGTGCTGACCTTTCTGTTTTTGCGTGGGGCGCGCGCGCGTAAGGACACGCTGATCTGCACTCTGCTGTGTTTTGCACTGCGCACCTGACGGCAATCGAGCTGGGTACGGGTATGATATTGGGTGTGGGGGAGCGACTAGGCATCTTCGAGGTTTCGGTCCAAAAAGTCTCGAAGCTTCTCGAGCAGATGCGCCTTGACGTGGGGTGGCAGCGTGTCTGATGGCGCGAACAAAGACGGTCAGTAAGAGCTCCTGGCTACTAGCTGTGTGGGGGAGATGCCTACCTTTGGCGTGCGGAGTGAGCGCATCGATGAGCGAGGGCACGTCGAGCACGGGCTGTTGCTTGGCTTTGGTTGTGGCGGTGGATTGGAACTGCGCCTCCCAGCCGCACTCGTCGAGCATGCGCTTCAGCAGGATGAGCAGACGCTGCCACTCGCCCGACGCCACGAGTCGCTGATGCAGCGCATTGTACAGCTCGTCTCTCCCCGCTCCTGCGTCGACACCGTTCGTAGGCCCGAGCTCGCCTTCCTCCATGGTGGTTGTTGTTGCGGTCGACGTTGGTGGTGGGAGTGTTGCCGAGGCGCCAGCTTGAATCCGCCGCCAACGCGCCTCGAAATGCGCAGGAACTCGGAACTCGGATCTCGGAAAGCGGACCATTCGAGTGTGGAGCAGCAAAAAGCAAAAAAGCATCCGGATTTCGGCGCCTTTTTTTTACTATTATTGTGAGCTGCTTTTTTTTCTGCTTCTGCTCTCCCTTGTATCCTCACCTCATTGTCGCACCATGTCGTCCGCATCTAGTGCAGTGCTGCCGGCGGGCAAGCGGCCCGAATACGTGATCGAGCATATGGAGGAGGACGATCCCGACGCACCCGCCGTGTTTCCGCACTGGGCGTTGCTCGAGTACCGCCACATGCTCGAGCTCGTCGGGCCTGGTTCGACGGTGCATTTCACCTCGCTCTCGCACGCCTCTCTCGAATCGCTGCGCCAGTCTCTTTCGACTCCATCGAACAAGCCTCAGGCGCAGTTTGAGCTGCATACGGCGAGCATTACGACCATGATGAGCCAGCGCGGTATTGGGCTCGATCGGGTCTGCCTGCTCGACCCTAAGAGCCCTTTTGCTGTTTCCATCACGGATGCAGGCAAGCACACGAGCGACACCAAGCCCGCGCAGGCAGGCGGACCCTTCCAGCTGTTTCTCTTCGGCGGCATTCTGGGCGACGATCCGCCGCGCGATCGAACCAGCTCGCTGCGCCAACTCGGATTTCCCTCTCGCCATCTCGGCGGTGTCCAGATGACCACCGACACCGCACTCGGTGTGACAAAACGCTGCGTCGAAGACGGATTCCTCCTCGCTCTCGACGACACCACACAGCAAGAGCAGCAGTGGGGAGATGCAGCCAAGGCCTCCGCCAAGCTCGAATGGGTCAACCATCCCGAACTTCACTTTGGCCACGGCGAAAGCGTAAGTACACCCCGCCCCTACCTTGATTCGGCTGTGAAGTATTCGCTGACATTTCGGCGTTTGCGGGGGCGATTTGGCACAGGTGGAAATGCCGTTCCGATACATGGTCGACGAAGAGCGACCCGCGCTGGCCGACGGCAGCAGACAGCCGCTCATGCCGCACGGCATGCGCCAGCTCATCCAGAACGACCTCGGCCGCAGCTTTGAGTTCTGACCCCGCGCCAATGCCACACCCCACACTCTTGACTTTGCATGTGTGTATGCGGGTGGTAACGAGGGGAATACACTGTTGAAAATGCGCTGCAAACAAAAGGACACTACGAGATACAAAAGAGGGGAAGGGGGGGATGTTCTGTTGAAGCAATGGGAGTGCCG